GATATTTAATAGTTTGCACCACCACATAAACATGTTTTTAGTTACGTGTTGTAGCTCACGGTGATCTTTTAATTATATTGTTACGTATTGTATTATGTCATTCAAAATAAATCTTGAAATAGATATCGATATAATCAAATCCTGATTATACTTAATCTGGGTGTTGAATACTGTTTTTACGAGATCAATTACAAGTCAAAATATACCTTTTCAATATTGTACAGATAATGTATGTTTTATTATTGCACATATGCTATTAAATGACGAGAACCCTATACAATTTTGTTATTGAATGACGACAACACTATTTGATCTATTATACAAATCATGAATTATCACGGCGGGAGACATTTTTAAAAGAAAAGTTATTCATGTGTGTACTAGGTTTTTTGTATAATGCTTTATTAGGCGAACTCATAAATTGCTTGTCATAAATTGAAAAATAAATTTTTAAATAGTTATAATGAACGGGTCTTTTAAAGATTAGTTATACAAGCTTTGTTAGATTGGTAATCATCCAAGAATAAATTGTCGCATGATATCAAAAACAATTAAACAGAAGTTCTTTTATGTAGTATCCAGTTTTAGTTTCAAAAATACGTTATTATTATTTGATTGGTCTATTTGTTTCGTGTAACCCCTTGTTGACTACAGTTTGTTATTAATTCAAGCTTTTTGTATTTAAACTACTTAAGGTGATTTGAGGTCGTGTGAATATTATATTAAAGCCACTCAAGGTGATTTGTGGTCGTGTGCATAACTCGTTAGTTACTTGGTATACCACATTAAACCTCAAAATTCCTCATTGGAGTACTGAGGGGATTTTTTTTGTTAGATTGCCTATTTGGGTTAACCCGAGGTCGGTTTAAAAATGACTAGTTTTCTAACCGTGGTTTTCTTCAAAATAAATACCAACGGTATTTGCTATTAACGAGTAGACGTATTGCAAAGTATGGATAGGCTATGGAACCGTGCCGTTACAAATCTAGTTCCATGCACGCTCTAGACCACCTTTGGGGTTACGTTTTATTCCGAAATTAATCTCAGTCAATAATAATCCACCAACTGCATGTGTTTACAACATCTATTTAAAGTCACCCATAGGCGTACGGGGAAATTGTTGACTGGGGGGGGGGGGGCGGTGGTGGTTGGTGCCCAAAAAATGTAGTTAGCTTCTTAGTATGTTACATAATATTAATACATTTGCTGTTAAATTGGACACATTCAAGAACACAATTTTTTTTTATACAACTTTTACAAAGTACAATTGTGTGCCCAAATTTTCCCAGCATTTGGTGCCCAAAATGGGGGGGGGGGGGTCTCGTACGCCTATGAAGTCACCCCCATGCTGTAGAAAATAAATGGAATGAAATACGGTTTATCGGCCTACTGTTCTTTATGTAGTATCCAGTTTTAGTTTCAAAAATACATTATTAGTATTTGATTGATCTATTTCTTGCATTTAACCGTTTGCCTGAGCAGCGGCACTATGGCCTACTATTAAATCGAATTCCAACTACCAAAGAATCTTTTACATGTACGCCAATGTATACATGGGGCCTCAGTTTTTTCGACCCATCCGAACGACTAGGCATCGGTCCTTGTCAGGACCTCTGTCGTGCACCACTGACAAGGGGAAACAACGTCGGAAAATCCCGATGCAATTTCACGGCTAATTCAGGGAACGAACACGCGACCAACAAAACCTATATAAAGTACCATAATTCAGGGATGTGGCTATATGCGTCACTGATGGGGGTGCAGCTGTTCGGAATGCTAATCACTGTGGGGTGTAATCAATGTAAACAGCAAGTAATCGGCATATAGTACATCGCCACATGCGATCTTCTGCGAAGCTGTTTTATTGAAATGCCAATATCCCATCCCATAACACCCAGAAGCAATTCTACAGTATTGGGTCTTTGAATCCGGTTCTTGATAACAAAACTAGTTTAACTTCATATGATACTTTTATTTTCCTTCTAACATATTATGTACAAAACTTAAGACTCCGTAGTTACCTTGACTCCATAGTTACCTTGTGTTGAGGGAGCCATGGTTCTAGCTTGGCTTGGCACAGCATGCCAACTCCCGCCTAACTTACATGGCCGCTGCCCGGTCTTAACTCGAGACCTGTCTTGTCCCAAGTTAATTTCTAGACGCTCTCGCCTAGTCTACCCGTCTCGTCTCCATTCCGGGTTTTTTAAACCATTCTAGTCAAAGGGCCTCATTACACATCTGGCCAATGCATCATATCAGATTTAACATTCAGTACAGTTTGTTTATAAGACAAAGGAAGTTAAATAAACCGGGCCAGCCACAAGTTGATTAATGAATGCTATCAGGACCACCAGGGGTTTCGATAGTGGACAGGTTGATATTAAAATCAGTTTTAGGTGTGAAATGGCACGAAGCGTCTATAACATCTGTCGCTATGTAACAGTAAAGACAATTACTGTTCACGTTTTGTTTTGATACAAATTGATAACTTGTTGTACCCCCCCCCCCCCCACCCCCACAAAAAAACAAAACCAAAAAAAAAAACACGAGATAAGAAAATAATATGCTCTTTTAGTTGATAATTTACAAAATATTGAAATGTTTATGTGCCCTTGGTGTAAACCGGAGAACTAACCGCGAACTAAAACTCGTCGAACTGATGTGGATTTATCAATCTTCGTTGAAATGAAGTACATTAATTAATGGAAGCAACGAGTCTCATAAGGCTATCTGATCTTTAGTCCGAACACTAAAACTTCATAATGACAATATGAGCAGATAAACCTTTAATTAAAATACAAATTAATAATCACAACATGCTGCTGATAAACCATTAATTACAATATAAATTAATAAAGACAACATGGAGCTGATAAACCATTAATTACAATAAAAATTGATAAACGAAGTATATAATACTAACAATGTACACTAAAAACTATAAACGGTACTGATTAATTAAAAAAAAAATTTGTAAATAAATACTTATATAATGGGACTGATAAACCCTTAATGAAAAATTAATAAAGACAATAAAGTGCTGAGAAAACGTTAAAGATACCTTCCCGCGTAGAAACTGGTTGATTTTATGATATATTAGGACTAAAACATAATTATTCAAACTAATTTTATGGACTAAAACATATTCAAATTAATCTATCAACATTTTGCTTAAAGTTTTTGTCAAAACATTGTATTCGCGAGGAAATACCCAAGCTATAAAAATCTATTAAAAGAAGTTATGTTTGTGCCAGGTGACTTGGCTGCGCCGGTACCTAGCAGCGGGTGTGAAGTCGGGGGGGGGGGGGGGGTCACAAGACGATATCTATTTATCATAAACATCGAAGCCTAATTAAATTATCGGATTATCCACTGCCCACGTCTTTGCCGTGGTTTTTATCTGTTATACGTTTAAGCCCCTCACCTTTACCTCACCATTAACGCTTACAGATTGGCGCGCAACCCTTGACGTCACTCGAACAGACATCCCTAATCTTCCTGTATGCGCTCCTTGGGTGTTTTTCAAGGGAATATAGTATTCTTCTAGTAAGACTGGATGTTTCTTCTTTCCATATCTTAATGGCAAGACCAATTATTAATGACAATTAACATAATGCTGATAAACACTTAATGACAAATTAATAATTGCAAGATTGTGCTGATAAACGGTTACCGACAATAAAATTTAATAATGGCAACATGGAGCTAATAAAACATTAAAACATTAATTACAATACAAAATACAAATTGAAACATGGAGCTGATGAACCACTAATGACAACATGGCGCTAATAACCGAAAGCATGATCACGTGATTATAATTAATTTTAATGAGAAATTGGTACTGATAAACGAATTGTAATATAATACTAACTATGTAGACTATAAACGGTACTAATTAATAACAACACAATGATGGCCAAATGTTATAATCCGGTTATAAGCGTAATAAAATTAAATGAAATGGGGTTTATTTCTCCATCGGCCAAATCACTGGGCACCACAGCCCCCGCTTGCAGTGATGTTCTTATACATTCTGAAATTGTCAGTTGCAATCGTTTAACTATAATATAGGCAGTGATAATGTTTTGTAAACTTTGAAATAAAGTGATGGTTTTCTATAATATGACACACAGCCTGGTGGCAATTCTAATTATTACCCACTAGCAGAATACTCGGCTTCGCTCGGGGTCTAAATTCACACTGGGCCCAAATTTGATGGGCTAAAACATTCGCGGGGTCATCCTGATTGATACCACATGTGTGGGGTGGAGCATGGCGAAGAAACGTGATGGGCGAACACACACACACACACACCCACACAATATCATCAGAGGGTGGTAGTGGATCATCCTCTTGATCATCATCAATCATCCAGGTTTGTGAAGATGAGGGAATTGCCTTGATCTCTCTCCGTTTAGCTTGTGTGGGTGGTAGTGGATCATAATCATCAATCATCCAGGTTTGTGAAGATGGAGGAATGGCCTTGATCCCTCTCCGTTTAGCTGGTGTGGGTGGTAGTGGATCATCTTTTTCATCATGATCAATCACACTAGTTTGTGAAGATGGAGGAATGGGCTTGATCGCTCTCCGTTTAGCTTGTGTGGGTGGTAGTGGATCATCTTTTTCATCATGATCAATCACACTAGTTTGTGAAGATGGAGGAATGGGCTTGATCGCTCTCCGTTTAGCTTGTGTGGGTGGTAGTGGATCATCTTCTTCATCATGATCAATCACACTAGTTTGTGAAGATGAGGGAATTGCCTTGATCTCTCTCCGTTTAGCTTGTGTGGGTGGTAATGGATCATAATCATCAATCATCCAGGTTTGTGAAGATGGCGAAATTGGTTTGACCTCTGTCGGTTTAGCTTGTGATGGTGGTAGTGGATCATCATCATCAAGGTTTGTGAAGATGGCGGAATGGGCTTGATTGCTCTCTGTTTAGCTTGTGAGGGTGGTAGTGGATCATCCTCTTCATCATCATCATCAATCATCCAGGTTTGTGAAGATGAGGGAATGGCCTTGATCCCTCTCCGTTTAGCTTGTGTGGGTGGTAGTGGATCATCTTCTTCATCATGATCAATCACACTAGTTTGTGAAGATGGAGGAATGGGCTTGATCGCTCTCCGTTTAGCTTGTGTGGGTGGTAGTGGATCATCTTCTTCATCATGATTAATCACACTAGTTTGTGAAGATGAGGGAATTGCCTTGATCTCTCTCCGTTTAGCTTGTGTGGGTGGTAGTGGATCATAATCATCAATCATCCAGGTTTGTGAAGATGGAGGAATGGCCTTGATCCCTCTCCGTTTAGCTTGTGAGGGTGATTCCTCATCATCAATCAACCTGGTTTGTGAAGATTAGGAAATGGCCTTGATCGCTCTCGGTTTAGCTTGTGTGGGTGGAAGTGGATCATCCTCTTCACCATGATCAATCATCCAGGTTTGTGAAGATGAGGGAATGGCCTTGATCCCTCTCCGTTTAGCTTGTGTGGGTTGTAGTGGATTATCTTCTTCATCATGATCAATCATGCTAGTTTGTGAAGATGGAGGAATTGGTTTGACCTCTGTCGGTTTAGCTTGTGATGGTGGTAGTGGATCATCATCATCAATCATCCAGGTATGTGAAGATGGAGGAATGCGCTTGATCACTCTCCGTTTAGCTTGTGATGGTGGTAGTGGATCATCATCAATCATCCAGGTTTGTGAAGATGAGGGAATGGCCTTGATCTCTCTTCGTTTAGCTTGTGTGGGTGGTAGTGGATCATCTTCTTCATCATGATCAATCACACTAGTTTGTGAAGATGGAGGAATTGGTTTGACCTCTCTCCCTCTAGCTTGTGTGAGTGGTAGTGGATCATCTTCTTCATCATTATCAATCCACCAGGTTTGTGAAGATGAGGGAATGGCCTTGACCTCTCTCCGTTTAGCTTGTGTGGGTGGTGGTGGATCATCTTCTTCATCATGATCAACCACACTAGTTTGTGAAGATGGAGGAATTGGTTTGACCTCTGTCGGTTTAGCTTGTGATGGTGGTAGTGGATCATCATCATCAATCATCCAGGTTTGTGAAGATGGAGGAATGGGTTTGACCTCTGTCGGTTTAGCTTGTGAAGGTGGTAGTGGATCATCATCATCAATCATCCAGGTTTGTGAAGATGGAGGAATGGGTTTGACCTCTGTCGGTTTAGCTTGTGAAGGTGGTAGTGGATCATCATCATCAATCATCCAGGTTTGTGAAGATGGAGGAATGGGTTTGACCTCTGTCGGTTTAGCTTGTGAAGGTGGTAGTGGATCATCATCATCAATCATCCAGGTTTGTGAAGATGGAGGAATGGGTTTGACCTCTGTCGGTTTAGCTTGTGAAGGTGGTAGTGATTCCTCATCATCCATCAACCTGGTTTGTCAAGATGGACGAATGGTCTTTATCTCTCTCCGATTAGATTGAGAGGGTGGTAGTAGATCATCCTCTTCATCATCATCAGCAATCATTCTGGTTTGGGAAGATGGAGGAATTGGTTTGACCTCTGTTGGTTTAACTTGTGAGGATGGTAGTGGATCATCATCATAAGTCATCCTGGTTTGTGACGATGGATGAATGGGCTCTTGTGAGGGTGGTAGTGGATCATCATCAATCACACTAGTTTGTGATGATGGGGAAATGGGCTTGATCTCTGTCACTTTAGTTTGTGATGATGGTAGTGGATCATCATCATCAATCATCCTGGTTTGTGAAGATGGAGGAATGGGCTTGATCTCTCTCTCTTCAGCTTGTGGGGGTGGTAGTGAATCATCATCATCATCTGTTGCAAATAATTTATTGTAAGGCTTGCATTCAATTTTCTGAACCAATTCATCTAGATAGTCTTGGCTGTTGAAATCCTTTATTTCGATTAAACTAACATCACTGGTGAATTTTACTAACAGATGTCTTAGTCTGTTAGTTTTCTTCAGTTTTTCTGAAAATAAACAGAATTTACCACTAAGTAAGTGGAGAGGTAGAAACTCCAGCTCTACTTTGTATCACTAAAATGCTGCGATTTCCTATGAAATTTTGACTTGTAATATACATGTCATGTCAATTTTGAAATACCTTTGCAAATTTGAACTCCCTATAGGCTACCGTTACTGTGACATAGTGACTATCAACTACCGGTAATTTATTTGTATGTCCCATCCCAGATAATTATCTTTCATCCAAATGAAATATGGTAACACTAACAAGAGGAACAAGACAGATCATCCGTAAAAAAAATTTATTTATTTTTTTTTAAATTTGAGATCAGGATTATCATTAAAAAATCTCACATGATTATACATGTACAAGAAGTCAAGAAATTGATCAAGAATATTTTTCTAAATTAACTATTGTGTCTCATTTAAAGAGAAAAACGCCTCAATTAGTTTATTGCAACTGATTTGTCTGTCTTGTTCCTTTTTAAATATTGAAAGACATGCCAAATACTTTTTGGCATATTGAAAAGGTAAACAGAACAAACCAAAACAAATATAAAATAAAGAAAACAAGCCAACAGTGAGGCAGATGTCCCCCGCCGAAATCCCAAAATAAATAGATGACACATTAATTAATTGCACATTGATCTTTTTATAAAGCATCGAGTAACCAAACTGCTTATCTATACTTTGTCTAAGCATAAAATGCTCATGATTGAACTTATTCAAGGTTTTGATGTAGTGAAACTATACACCAAGTTTCATCACTCTCCCTCAATTAGAATCAAAGTTATCGTGTCCCAAAGCATCGACCAATAATATTGCTTAGCTCTGTTTAGTGGAAAATGTTAATCAGTGAACTCATTCAAGACATTCACTAAATAAACATCTACACAAAATTTGAACATTCTACCTCAATTAAAAGCAGAGTTGTTATGTTCCAAAGTCTTGAACCAGTCAAATTGCTTATCATTACTTAGCCTCAGCAGAAAATTTGCATCGAACATAGTCAAGGTATTGATGTAATGAAACTATACACAAAGTTTCACCTCTCTCACTCAATTAGAATCAAAGTTATCGAGCTTCAAAGTCTTGAAAAATCAAATTGCTTATCTTTGCTTACCCTTAGTGGAAAATGCTCTTCACTGAACTCTGTCAAGGCATTCACCTAATAAACACCTACACGAAGTTTCAACATTCTACCACAATTAGAAGTGGAGTTATTGTGTTCCAAAGTCTCGACCACTCAGATTGAAGTCTCTACTGAGCCTAAGCAGAAATTGCTCACCATCGAACTTAGTCAAGGTATTGATGTTATGAATCTATATACCAAGTTTCACCTCTCTCTATCAATTAGGATGAAAGTTATCGAGCTCCAAAGTCTGGATCAAATTGCTTATCACTCTGCTTACCCCAAGCAGAAAATGCTCATTATCGAACTTAGTAAAGGTATTGATCTTATGAAACTATACACCAAGTTTCATTACTCTCACTTAATTGGAATCAAAGTTATCGTGTCCCAAAGCCTCAACCAATCAAATTGCTTATCTCTGCTTACCCTAAGCAGAAAATGCTCATCACCGAATTTTGTCAAGGCATGCACCTAATAAACACCTACACGAAGTTTGAACATTCTACCACAATTAGAAGGGGAGTTATTGTGTTCCAAAGTCTCAACCAATCAGATTGAAGTCTCTACTTACCCAAGCAGAAAATGCTCATCACCAAACTCAGTCAAGGCATGCACCTAATGAATACCTACACTCAATTAGTTATTGTGTCCCAAAAAGTGTGACGGACAGACAGACTGACGGACAGACCCATTTCTTCAAAAGGTGGGGGACAATTAAATCAAATTGGGGGATTCAATTATAATTTGAAATTAAAACGCAGGTTCTCAACATCAAACAGGCAAAAGATTCGGTGAATGCAAATGCATTCAGAACAGACGTTTTTTTTTTAATTAATAATACCTTCACCCTTTCTGATATATTCTGAAAATTCTCTCTCAGAAAGATCATTAATCCTTTTTATCTTCGAGGCACTTGTAACATGAATACTGTGAAAAATTATATGTGATATATATGTAGAGCAGAATGAAACCAGCGGCTGCCAGGCAGGATACGCCCACATTTTCGAGAGATGGATAGAGAACAAGCTAACAAGAAAGTGATTTTTCCTACTATCAAGGGCTATAATTCAGGAAATTACAATTCAATATGCGCGAATATCGAAAGGAACTGAGATCTTTGTGTTATAAACTTACATTTCAAGTTTCAACAAAATCAGATAAAAATTGCGACCTCTATAGGGTCCACAACCTTGATATACCATATTTTTACGCTATTTGAGAACGAACGGTGGCCATTTTGTCTGTCAATTTTGGGTTGATTTTCACGAAATTCGAATTCAGTCGTCCTTAGGGTGCAACAGTGATATAATAGTACAGTTTTTTAAATTGGATACAAATTATGACCTCTATAGGGTCCATAAGCTAAAAACGCGATTTTTCGTACAATCAGGGGCTATAATTCAGGAAGTTACGGTCCGATATGCGCGAATATCAATAGGAAATGAGATCTTTGGGTTATAAACTTACATTTCAAGTTTCAACAAAATCGGATAAAAAATTGTGACGTCTATAGGGTCCACGACCTTGATATACCATATTTTTACGCTATTTGAGAAAGAACGGCGGCCATTTTGTCCGACAAAATTGGGCCGATTTTCACAAAATCCGAACTCCGCCATCCTTAGGGGGTAACGGTGATATAATAATACGATTTTTTAAATCAGATAAAAATTATGACCTCTCTATAGGGTCCACAAGCTAAAAACGCGATTTTTCGTACAATCAGGGCCATATTTCAGGAAGTTACGGTCTGATATGTGGAATATCGAAAGGAACCGAGATCTTTGGGTTGTAAACTTACATTTCAAGTTTCAACAAAATCGGATAAAAATTGTGACCTCTATAGGATCCACAACCTTGATATACCATATTTTTACGCTATTTGGGAACGAACGGCGGCCATTTTGTCTGTCAATTTTGGGCTGATTTTCACAGAATTCAAATTCAGCCGTCTTTAGGGTGTAACGGTGATATAATAATATTTTTTTTAAATCGGATAAAAATTATGACCTCTAGAGGGTTCACAAGCTAAAAACGCGATTTTTCGTAAAATCAGGGGCCATAATTCGGGAAGTTACGGTCCGATATATGGGAATATCGAAAGGAACCAAGATCTTTGGGTATAAACTTACATTTCGAGTTTCAACAAAACCGGATAAAAATTGTGACCTCTATGGGGTCCACAACCTTGATATACCATATTTTTACGCTATTTGAGTACGGACGGCGGCCATTTTGTCTGTCAATTTTGAGCCGATTGTCACGAAATTTGACCTCATCTGTCCTTAGGATGTAACGGTGATATAATAATATTTTATTTAAATCGGATAAAAATTATGACCTCTATAGGGTCCACAAGCTAAAAACGCGATTTTTCGTACAATCAGGGGCCATTATTCAGGAAGTTATGCGCGAATATCGAAAGGAACCGAAATCTTTGGGTTATAAACTTACATTTCAAGTTTCAACAAAATCAGATAAATATTGTGACCTATAGGGTCCACAACCTTGATATACCATATTTTTACGCTATTTGGGAACGAGCGGCGGCCATTTTGTCTGTCAATTTTGGGCCGATTTTCACGAAATTTGAACTCAGTCGTCCTTAGGGTGTAACGGTGATATAATAATACGTTTTTTTAAATCAGATAAAAATTATGACTTCTATAGGGTCCACAAGCTAAAAACGCGATTTTTCGTACAATCAGGGGCCATTATTCAGGAAGTTATGGTCCGATATGCGCGAATATTGAAAGGAACCGAAATCTTTGGGTTATAAACTTACATTTTAAGTTTCAACAAAATCGGATAAAAATTGTGACCTCTATAGGGTCCACAACCTTGATATACCATATTCTTACGCTATTTGAGAACGAACGGCGGCCATTCTGTCTGCCAATTTTGGGTCGATTTTCACGAAATTCGAACTCAGTCATCCTTAGGGAGTAACGGTGATATAATAATGTGGGTTTTTAAATCGGATAAAAATTATGACTTCTATAGGGTCAACAAGCTAAAAACGTGATTTTTCGTACAATCAGGAGCCATTATTCAGGAAGTTATGGTACGCTATGCGCGAATATCGACAGGAACCGAAATCTTTGGGTTATAAACTTACATTTCAAGTTTCAACAAAATCGGATAAAAATTGTGACCTCTATAGGGTCCACAACCTTGATATACCATATTTTTTACGCTTTTTGGGAACAAACGGCGGTCATTTTGTCAGTCAATTTTGGGTCGATTTTCCCGAAATTCGAACTCAGTCGTCCTTAGGGTGTAATGGTGATATAATAATACAGGTTTTTAAATCGGATAAAAATTATGACTTCTATAGGGTCCACAAGCTAAAAACGTGATTTTTCGTACAATCAGGGGCCATAATTCAGGAAGTTATGGTCCGATATGTGCGAATAGCGAAAGGAACCAAGATCTTTGGGTTATAAACTTACATTTCAAGTTTCAACAAAATCGGATAAAACTTGTGACCTCTATAGGGTCCACAAGCTAAAAACGTGATTCTTCGTACAAACAGGGGCCATAATCCATGAAGTATCGAACAGATACATGGCAATATCAAAAGCAGCTGAGATCTTTTGGAGATAAACCTACATTTCAAGTTTCGTCAAAATCGGATAAGAATTATGAGCTCAAGAGTGTCCATAAACAAATTGTGAACGGACGTCCAGACGTCCGGACGGACAGGGGCGACGGCATAATACGTCCGCATGAAAATGTGGGCGTATAAAAAGCAAAATTTAAACAGGCCTAACATAAGTCAGAGTCAGAACCATTACTTATTATTATGATTCACAGTGGCTTCATTTTCCTGGGGGATCGTGGTGGCTAAGTGGGTGAGGTGCTGGCTCGCTAGCCTGGAGGTCAAGTGTTCGATCCCTGCATTGGCCGAGAAAGGTCATCCAGATTTTCCGACATGGTTTCCCCTTGTCAGTGATGCAGGACGGAGGGCCTGACAAGGACAGCTGTCTAGTCATTCGGATGAGACGGAAAACCGAGGTCCCGTGTACACATTGGCGTGCACGTAAAAGATCCCTTGACAGTTGGAATTCAATATAAGAGTAGGCCGTAGTGCCGCTGTCCGGGCAAAATTTCTCTCATAGCACACTGTATGGTGTATGCCCGTCTTCATTAGCCCAGTTCGGAGCAAAACAGTAGGACGTTAAACCCCATTTCATTTCATTTTTCCTGATTTTCTAACTCAAAAATGGGCTGACCAAAATAAGCATTTACTGTGCACAATCTTGAAGTATTGTACGACGTCCTTAGATAATATCTACTTAAAAATCAAAAAATGCTAATGACCGCAGATAATATATGGTAGACACACGTTATAGCTATAACTTGTACAAAAATCGCAACATTTGGAATAATGCTCATATCTTTCTCAATTTTATTCCAAATGTCACGATTTTTGTACATGTTATAGCTATTACGTGTGTCTACCATATATTATTTGCAGTCAGTAACATTTTTTGCTTTTTTAAAGATGCATTATGTAAGATTTAGATAAAGAGTTGGTCGTTCTCGCTATAATAGTTTAAAAATAGATACATGTAATACAAAATGAATATATTTCAGTCAAATTACTTTATTCTGAGCGAAGATATGAATGTTTGAAGTTTTGACAAGACCGATTCCTATGTCATTAGCCTTGTTTCAGTCCAACAATCAATAGGACCGCAGGGCAAAAGAAGCCACTAATCCCACATATCTAAGGGTTTGCCTGTGCCATCATACAATGGAAAGGTGACAGGTGTGCCTGCAAAGTGATGACAGACATACATGAGTGACGGGTTCACAGCAATTTTAAGGCTCAGGCAAAATTCACCAGTGAATTAATAGACCTACTCCAGAATGACGTCACAATGGGTTTTTCCAAATGGAAATTCACGTGACGGGGTACAATCAGTAACGTTCGCCAATGTTATTAAACATGTACTACGGCCACTTTCAAGTTTAGACTAACGTAAATTAGTAACTATGCCGACGATGTAGGCTAGACACTGGGTAAAACAATGCGGGTGTCACCATAATGACCTTTCTGTAATTTCGATAAAACGGCACCATTATGTTTGTTCAGATGTAAATAGACTATTTTTAAAGCATCAGCACTTTTGTTATTAAATCGCAAAAATTTAGGTAAATTCACAGGTCCAATTTTTTGCCTACAATAAACATAACTGAAGCAGGATCATTATTTGCACCTTTTATTTTTTGAGGGTGGTGTATGATTTTCTGGATGCTGCACATAACTGTTGTGTTTTATGTTTATTGTGTAATTCCTATTGGAATAAGTTGGCTATGCCCCCGTGGGATCAGATACTATATTTATTTCTGTTTTTTAATCGTTTTTCAATTACGACTAATTCTGGATATTTTTATTTGTTTAAATGTGCGAGACAAAAATGCTGATGCTTTAAAAATAGTCTAACTTTGAACAAACAGAATGGTGTAGTTGTATCAAAATTACAGAAAGGTCATTATGAGGACGCCCGCGTTGTGTTAACCGGTGTCTACATCGTTCAATGTTAATTGACGACTTCAGAAACGGAAGGAAAGTAACACCGATCTCACATAATCTTTACGTTTATATCTGCTATCACTGTTGCAAGTTTCGCAAGAATATCGTTTAGTCGGCTTAGTTACTAATTTACGTTAGGCTAAACTTGAAAGTGGCCGTATTATAATAACAACCCATTTGACGTCATTCCGGATTACGTCTATTGCAATATATCTAGGCCTAGCATCAAACTTTTTCATACTTACATTTCTTCCTCATCAAAAAATGACACAGTATGAGTAATAGATTTCTCTTTCTCTGATTCAGATACCCAGCCAGGCCACCATATCCCATCACAATTTACTAATACTTTATCATTCACATGAAACTTATCCATCACTAGTCTGGTTAGTTGCCTTGGCTTCAAATGGTTCAGTTTTCTGGTTGATCTGAGCTGATCTGCATAAAAACTCTGAGCAAAATAATCATAAGGTACACACAGTGAATATATGTTGAGACATAAGCAAAAAGATTCGCATAATCATCATCCAACAATAGAATGCACAAGTCACAAATGACGGAAATGACACTTTGTAAAGAAAACAAAATTAACATGTAAGGTTTCATTGTACTGATCATCCAAATATAGGCTCTAAATTAGCCTAGACAAAATGCTAATGACTGACTAGATTGACACGCGAGATGGAGGAATGGCAAACTGTTCTATCCACGGAACCATCATGACCATGACACAAAGTCCAATGTGGAAAAATCGGACTCAAGAGGACTTCAATGCTCATAAGCTGAATCGGAAATGACTATATCAATAGCTAAAATATGATAAAAGACATCTTGTAGGAATAAAACAGTAATAATTTTCTTACATGTACTCAGAAAAATGTCTGTGTGAGTTCTTCTCAAATGACAGTGAGAAATTCAGGTGAGGATATGAACGTAAATGAAAACCGGGTGTGTGAGCAATTCGGGTAGTCCTGCACATCCAGATATATATTTCCCTTACAGGGCCAATGTACAGAATGTCTTGATATTCTAGACAAAATGATTGGATAAGGGAAGTTACTCCAAATAAAACTTGGCTAGCATGGGAATGTGTGTAAAATGTTAAGTGCATGTGCACATATATATGATATGAGTGCAGCCTCGTGAGGATAAATCTATGACCACCAAAAACATTCTCCTAAGGGGTTGTTAGGCATTATGATCAGGTCTTCACTATGAGGAAATCCTCTCTCAGAATTCTTTACTCTTAGGGGTCTGTTCAGCACACACTTTTTCTCACATGGGATGGCTCGTCAGCCCACCCAATCATCATCATACACACACGCACACACACAATATCATCATCATACACACATACAATATCATCATCATACACACATACAATATCATCAGCATACACACACACAATATCATCATCATACACACACACACACACCCACACACACACACACATCTTTGATCTTTTATAGATTACTGAATTAGTTCGTATCTGGTCTCGTCTCGTGACTTTTTTGAGTATATCTAATTCTTCTCCTCATCATCATCATTTAATTCCGTCATCTTCGCCTCATCGTCATCATTATCATATTCATCATCTAGTTCCGTCATCATTATTATCACCATCATATTCATCATGTATTCCCACCATCATTATCATCACGTATTTCCGTCATCTTCACCTCATCATTATCATCATCGTTTTTCTTCTTTCCCACCATCATTAGCCCAGTCGGAGCGGAACAGTAGGCCGATATACCTCATTTCATTTCTTTTTCGTCTTCTGATGTTGTTGATGCCCTCAATTCGTCTTGGTCTTCTTTAAAAATTTCTTTTAATTTCTTTTTATTTATTAGATAGTATTCATAGTTATAAATATAATTATCACTTATATCCACGATACCATGATGCACCTGAACCTTTCTCCTCCCTATGGCACACTAGAATAACACACATCCAGTTTCATCAATATAATTATCACGGAAATAGCTTTGCGGTATGCAATCAACGAGAAGGATTTGAGATTTTAGCTTTGAGTGAATGCCCAACTGTTCAACCCTTTTTTTTTACATCAAGTCCAATATGTTGCCTAATAATTCTGACACAATTGTCCTTCAAAGATAAATTGAAACAGAACAAAATTAATGGTGGAAACAATTTCTGCTGCCTGTGCCCCGCTTCGATAAAGTAATTGTCTAAGATTATGCCGCGCTTCACCATCTAACATATCCAACGTTAGATCATTGTAGTAATTAGTTGCAGTGGACTTTAACTTTTGAAGGCAACAATTTTCTGCAACTAACAACCGTATTACGCAAATTGTTTTATGGGGTTTAGAATCTGTAGGAAATAATAAAGCTCTCTGAATCAGCGTGTTACCATTGGTCCCTGGTAAATTTATCAATGTGTGACCACCTTGAATTATAAACAGTCTAAGGCATTTTCTTCCGCAACCAACATCAATAAATTGTAAGGCTGTTAGATAATGTATCTTTGACAGCCTGACAGGGTTATTAGATAGCGTTGTTATTAGATAGACCGGAAGTTATATCACTTATGAAGCATGATATCGGATGTTAGAAAAACATATATAATATCATAAATTATTAACTGTAGATTAAGGTCAAGTGTTTTTCTTTATTGGCTATATTAATTATTTCAATCAATTTAGTAACTAGTGTGTAAGTCAAAATGTAGAAACTGGCAGAAGTTAATTCTGATGTAGATAACATCGATTAAAGCTGTCATTTGCGTCTTATTTAGCTTAATTAAAGATACATTATGTAAGATTTAGTTAAAGAGCTGGTCTTTCTTGCTATAATAGTTCAAAAATAGTTTATGCAAAATACTTTATTCTGAGCGAAGATATTTGCCTTTGAGGATTTTACAAGATGTGTGCAACGTTTCTAACCACCGTACTGGTTGTTAGAAACTTATAGCCCCGCTTAACCATTTTTTTTAAAATTTAAATGGCTGATCCGTTCTAATCGAACCCATCCGATATAATCAAGACTTGATTATGGTCTTGTCATGTTGATAAATGAATAGTTTATATAACTTTTAAGGCCCGAAGAAAGATCTGAAATAGACAGATTTAGATCTTGTATAATGCCTTTTTAACTAAATCATAAGAATAATTTCTTTCTTTACAATCTTTTTAGATAACATATTAGTTTTATTCCGAAAAGTAATTAAATAATAAACACTGATATGGGATATCCCACCTTTAAATAAACAGTCATACTTTAACAAAATTGCCTGTAAAAGAAAGTAATAGTAGACTTTGGTCATTCCCCGGGATTTGCCGGTTCAACGAAATCTATATTCGTCACTATTTTACTATTCAAAGAAACTCTTTGCTCGATGCATATCAAAGTAGAGTGCATATCTCCGAGAATCAAATTAAAGCTTGTAAAGAAATAAGTTTTGTCAACCAACCCTGTTCTTATAATTAAACACTCGAGGGTGTATTCATACAAAATTGAATTGAAGAAAGTGTATAATGTAGTACTATTAAACTATAAATAGTAATGGTTAATAAGGTAGAGAAATTATAACGGAACGGACGGGTGAAATGGGGCTTCATATTGTGCTGCTCCAGCCGAGCTCCTACCGACTTCAGGCTTTCTTTAACACGCACGTTAAGGTGTATAAAGTTGTGGTGTTGGCCACACCCCAACGACCAGACGCTCTGACCTGCACGGCTGAAAAAGGGGAACAACGCCTGAAAATACCGAATAACTTTCTCAGTCAGGGACATCCAGGTAATTACCTTTCCGTCGACTCCACGATGTTTGTTAATGTCTAAGGTCATTATAAAAAGTGGGAGGAGCTATAAGTCTTTGACGGAACGGTCAATTATATTTGTCACACTGCAAGAATGATGTCATATAATCTAAGTCTGAACTAACACACCCTTTTATATATAGCCGCCGCTAGTTTATCAGAGATCGGTCGACTTGATTTACCAATGCAAAGTCAAGCGAGTCGCACTATGAAAGAGTGAACAGTTCAAGTGGATCGTTATAAACGCACACAATTTGATCAATGCAAGTGTTAATGTAAATTCAAGTAGGTTGTCACATGCTGACAAATGTTATGTAAATGTTTACTCCATTACACATTAAACGGAGAACCGTAAAACATCTTGAACGATGTGCTGCGGTATAGTAACTCAACCATCTGTACTATATTAAACCCCACTTTATTAAAATGCGATATTTACGACTTTAACCGTTTAAATAGTTTATATTATTTAATAGAAATGCGTACCTAAGAATGGCTGTTAGACACAGTAGGGGTTTGGGTTAAAGAAGATCGGAGCCACGGTGGCTAAGACGCTGGCTCGCTAGCCTGGAGGTCGTGTGTTCGATCCCTGCATTGGCTCTGAAAGTTTATCGGGATTTTCCCCTTGTCAGTGGAGCAGCACGGAGGGCATGACCAGGACAGCTGTCTAGTCGTCGTTCGGATGGGACAAAAAGCCAAGGTCCCGAGTATACATTAGCGTACACGTAGAAGATCCCTTGGCAGTTGTACTTCAATATAAGACTAGGCCATAGTGCCGCTTCCCGGCAAAATTTTCCCCATAACACACTGTATAACCTATGTCTATTTTCATTAGCCCAGTACAGGAGCAAAGCAGTAGGACGATAAACCCCTTTTCATTTTCATACATTGTATTATATAATACCCTATATTTTATTACATACATAGCTTAAGGTAACTCACCTTAGTCAAGCGTCCTTGGCTAATTGATTAAAAACCCCTTCTAGTGTAACAGAGAGAGAAATAGGGTTTAACTTCCATCTAATTTTATTATTAAGATTAATTGTATTATACCTTTATATTTCATACAAGTTAGCAATTAAGTATATGATTTAAAATAGTATTTAGATGTTTTATTATTAATATGTAATATATCATTTTAATGAATATGAATGCGTTAAATTTATATGTTTGATTATAGTTATACAGGTTATTTATATTAAAATTGTATAATTTCCGTGTTTTTTATACAGTTATAATAAACTGTAAATAACTTGAACACTTGTTTGTGTGGGTAATTTACCCGCATTTCGACCCCTTCAACATTAGCCTTGTTGGATGTATTTATTTTCAGCAGTCTAATATCTTGTGTAAGTTCCACACAAATGCCCCAACACCTTGCCATACATGTTTTTAAGGGCACCTGTTTCAACACGAGGTAGGCCATGTCGAACAAAACACATGGTAAAAGATGTATTTCAATAATTTACTTGTATATAGGATTTATTAGCAGTGTGGATGCTGGTGGGAGGGGGGGGGGCGAGGGTCCAGGAAATAATTCACGATGTAAGGCAGGCGGCCCTACAGCCAGGAAATAATTCACGATGTAAGGCAGGCGGCCCTACAGCCAGGAAATAATTCACGATGTAAGGCAGGCGACCCTACAGCCAGGAAATAATTCACGATGTAAGGCAGGCGACCCTACAGCCAGGAAATAATTCACGATGTAAGGCAGGCGACCCTACACCACCCCGACCATTTCTCTCTTAACTATATATTTCCACCCATTGCATTTGTAAACAAGGAATGGGTTAACATATTCATATTGGATTATTCCTTGTGACTGGCACAAAGCATGGCAACAACAGCTACCCAGAAGATGAATCTGCTATGGCAATTTTTTTAGAAAAGACATTTTGAATTTCAAATAAATTTGTATATATTTTATTCCTTATGCAGTTGAAACCTGGCAGAAATCTGATCAAAATCGGCTGGAATGGGACTTGTTGACTGTGCCAAACGATACCCGGTCTTTGCAGTGCTTTGTAAATGTTTCAGATCGTTACATTTGTCAAGTAAACTAACGCAATCAGTGTAAGTAGCATAGATGGGTAGGTTGACATTTGAGAGAGAGAGAGAGATGGGGTTTAACGTCCACTCGACACAAACTAGGTCATTTCGGGACTAACATATGGTTTAATTTTATTTCAATAATTCGCTTGCGCATAGGGGTCTTTAGCAGTGGGAGGAAACCGGAGGACCCGGAGAAAACCCACGAGGTTGGACAGGCGACCCTACTCCTTGTCACGTACAACCGGGGATTCGAAACCACGCCAGTTGACTCAATGACAGACTTTATGATACAGCGCGCGCACGCTAACCATTCAGCCATCCAACCCCCCAGGTTGACATTTGACATTACAGAATTCATCTTTAGGTAAGCAAAATAGCAACAACATGCTATGACATTTTTAAA